ACGATGAAGTTCATCACGCGCATTGGCGCGCCACCACGGCGGTCCGCTGGTCTCCTTGAGCCACGGCGCCGGCGCTATCCGCCAGGCGCTGGGCCCCGCCGCTTACCTCCACAGAGTATCAGAGCTGGCCGCAGGCGACCCCGCTGATGTACCAGCCGAGGCGCCTGCGGCAGAGGCTTCAAGGCGCTGGTGTCCACTGCCTCCCCCAGCGCCGCGCGCTCCCACGGCGCAGCGGAAGCAGCTGCGCGGGCCACCAGCAGCTGCGAACATTTGTTGGCTGCAGCTCGCTCGGCGATTCGCCGGCGGCTGCCGCTGGCCCTCGCGCCAGCCTGCACGGCCGCCACTCGCCTGGCACGTCTGCCGGCGCGCCGGCGGCGGCCCAGGGGGTGCTCGCCTGCAGCGCCGCCCGCGCGGGCCTCACCCCGGGCATCCTCGGTCGCCGGGCGTCGTCAGCGCTGAGAGCGGTCCGGCGCCATGCGCATGGGCCACCCGGGAGCCAGCCGCTCTGCCGCCCGCCGAGCCCGTGCACGCAGCGGAGGTCGTCTTGGTGGCGCGGCAGGGCGCAGTCGCGCCTCCATAGTGCGGAGGCTGTGGCTGCCCACCTCCCCGCGCCCGAGGCCGTCCGCCAGGCCCGCGGCCACGAGGAAGTGATGCGCCTCTGCGCGGGTGGTCGGGTCGCCAGAGCGCCACCGGGAGCGTGGCCTCCGCGTCCCTGGCCTGCGGAGGCGCTCCGGGAAGTGCGCCTCCAGCTCTGCCATCGCCTGCGCAGGGCAGGGGGTGGTGTCGGTGGCGTACCGGTTGCGGACCGACCCGACGTTGCATGCCTCGGCCTCGGAGCCGGCGTTGTGGATCAATCACGATCGCACCCGCGTCGGCGAACGTGGTGGCCCTGTCGCCTCCCCTCAGCTCTCTTTCCTGTGACCTTGACCTGTCCCTCTGCACCGGGTGCTCGGAGGCCCCGACCCAGACCCCCGACGTCATGATTTTTTCATGACGTCGACCCCATGCGGTCTGGACCCATTCCCCAGGACCGGTTTTTCATCCTGAGTCGTTTTTTGACGGTCCCGAGGGCCGGTAAGGGCCCCCAGAGGCCGAAAATCATGAAAAACCTCCCGTCGTGATTTTTTCATGACTCGAGGGGGTCTGGGGAGGCGGCAGAAGAAGGCAGTGCACACCGTGCGGCTTCAGGCGCGGCCGCGCCGGGTTGCCGGGTGACTCGGCCCAAGCGCCGAGGCCCGTCTGCGTGGCCGCCCAGGCTTCTGGGCCCCCCCCCCGCTCCCCGACAGCCCCCAGCGCGGCCACCGGTCGCCTCTTGGGGCGCCTCCGCGGCTGTCTCCGGGAGCGCGCGCGCTGGCTCGGGCGGCGCGGCTCTGGCGGCCTCCTGCAGGAGGTTCTCTGGCTCGCTGCCCCCTGCCAGGTGCTCGTCCCAGGCTTCGTCGCTGCTGCCCTGGATCCGCCAGACCTCCTTGAGTTGTGGAAGTCGGTTAATGGAGAGGAAGCATGCGGCCAAATCATTTCCAGATGTCTAAAAGACGTTTCAAGCATGGTTAGATATATATATATATATATATATATATATGGTGAAATATGTTTGAAACATGTTTAGAATATGTTTTACACATTTTAAACATATCTTTAATTCGATGATAGGACTGTTAGATTGTCCATTGTCATGGCATCCACAATCCATGAGGGTCAGCGCCCGCGCCTTTCCTGCCGCCCGACCGGGCACGTGCACACCAGGGTGGCGCGCTCTGCCCGTGGGGGTGGGCTTCCCCGGCCAGCGGACCGTGCAGCAGGGCCCCTCGATGCTGTGCACCAGGCTTGGCATCGCTCGGACGTGTGCATTTTTCTCGGCGAGAACCATCGAGGACCATCCTGCACCGTCGAGCAAACAAAAACACGCGCGGAACCGACACATGCACAGGAAATGGACGTCTGAGCGACGGCAAGAAGGTGCTTCACTTTGTCGGGGGTGATGTGCCCGAGGGGCTTGGGCAGGAGCACGTCGCCCGAAGCGGGCCCTGGGGTCCCAGACCACCTCTCCGGCCGCGGCGAGGCAGACGTGGCCGTGCCGATCCTGGTGTTGCGCCTCGATGCCTGCTGCCGTCCTCCGCGCGGGCGGCAACGGACTGTTCGCCAGGCTCCGGCCTTCGGCCCCGCGGCCCGCCATGGCGTCGCCAGGCGTGAGCGGCCCTATCAGCGGCCAAGTAGCCCCACCATGAGCGCTGGTTCCCGTGATGTCGGTGCGAATCCTTCGCCAGGTCTTACGTGCTGGCCAGCCTTGCGCGCTCGCCCACTCGCCGAGGGCACCTCACTGGCATTCGATGTTATTAGGTCTCGGCTATGTTCGTACCTCGCTGTGGCCTCGCCGAGCTGGGTGCGAGCAGTCTCCCGCTCGGTGACGGTGTACAGTCGGGGCCCTGAAGAAGGAACCCTTTTCGTTGGGGAGGGGCTCCGTGTTCCTTAAGTGTTTCGCAGCTTGCCTGGGATTTTCCTTAGGTTTCCGATACGAGATCGAAGTTCAACTTATGGAAAGTGGGGGCCTTGTTCCTTATTTAGGGTTCCTTAGGTCAACGCCTCGACTGTAGCCCGACTGCCTGAGGGTCCTCGGCAGCTTCGCGGGGTTGGCCGCGGCATAGGCAGGCCAGCAGCGCCACGCGGGGCCGGCTTTTTTGCCGACGCCACCGGCGACGGCTTCCGTCCCCTGCCGTCCCTCGGGCCCACGGTGAGCGCCGCACGCAGCCAGTCGACCAAAGCGCTCGGGCCCGCAGCTCCTCCGCCACAGACCCCCCCGAGTAATGAAAAAATCATGACGGGATGCTTTTCCTACCTTTCGGCCTCTGGGGGCCCTCACCAGGCCTCGGGAGCGCCCAAAAACGACTCAGGGTGCAAAGCCGGTCATAGGAAAAGGGTCCAGACCTCTGGGGGTCGACGCAATGAAAAAATCATTACGTCGGGGGTCTGGGGCCGTGGTTATCGCGGAGGCCGGAGGCGTGCGCGCCGGGAGCGAGGGGGGCGCCCGGTCTCCAGGCGCGTCGACGCCCGCCGGCGAGGGCGGGGCGCGGGCGCCAGCTGCGCGCCTCGGTGCACGGTGGCGGGTGGCTGCTCTTGTCGGGTCGGGCGAAGGGGGGGGATTGGGAAAGGGGGGGTTACGAAATTTGCTGCATGCAGCTGGTTTCGGCCTGGTTTCACCTCGAGGGGCCATCGATACGCCGCCTCCGGCGCCGGGAGGCGCCGGGAAAATCAGCTACGTGAGCTGATTCTCAAACCCCCCCTTCCTGCTATCGCCGGGAAAATCAGCTACGTGAGCTGATTCTCAAACCCCCCCTTTGCTATCCCCCCCTTTCGCCCGACCCGATTTTGTGCCAGCGGTCCTTCCCTGCCGGGGAGCCGAAGCCTCTTCTGTCGGCCACCATCCGGTCCCGCTCGGCCGGGGGCCGTGGCGCCGACGACCTGCGGTGGTTTTGGGGCGTCGATGCTTTGGCCCGCGGTGGTCCCCTCGGGATACGGTGCCGCGCGCACTCGGAGTGCCCTTGGCAGTTTTCCTTGCAGGGCGCTTTGCTAATGGGTGTTCTGTCAATCTTCGATCGTTTGTCAAGTGGGTTGCGGTCTCTTCCCGTTTCCGCCGCGGGTTCGACGTGGGTTCCACGCGGATTTGTCGACGCGTAGCGACGCGATGGTGCGGACAGGGAGGTCCCCCGAAGATGCAGCATAATAATGCTTTCCGCGGCCCTCCTTCTCCTCCCTACCAGGATGCAACTCCCGGAGGTTCAATTCAGCATCGGCGCTGGTATACCCGCGGTATACGAAGCCCAATCTGGCGCAGTCCCGCCTAATCTGGCCCACTCTCACTCAGTCCGGCCAAATTCCGATTGTTCGTGGGCATCATCCGGGCTGGTCCGCGCAGTGGCGCCTCAATCGGGCTCCGTAGGCCTTGATCGTTCTTCAGGAGGGAAAAAATCACACACGGACGCAATGAATCGTCGATTCCCCAGAACACATGGAACATGATTATGGGAAGTGGGGGGGGGAGAAAAAAGCCAAGATGATATGGGAAACTATGGGGCATCCTGTTATCTGTGTCTGTTTACTTGTGCGTCCCAGGGCCCCCCTTCAGTTCTTTCGAGGACCTCCCGGGAGCCGCCTCCGCGTCTCAGAGCGTGAACTACCTACCCCGCTTTCGCTTCCAGGCCAAACCAAGTCATACCATATACGCCTCCTCGTCTAGCGGCCTGACCAGCACGTGCCGTAGCTTGGCACCGCTTGGTATCTGCTGGAAGCGAGGGTGGTCAAAATCGAGGTAGGTTTGTTTGCCCCCTAGAGGAGGAGGAGGAGGAGGAGGAGGAGGAGGAGGAGGAGGAAGAGGAAGAGGAAGAGGAAGAGGAAGAAGAAGAAGAAGAAGACGAAGAAGAAGAAGAAGAAGAATACGAAGAAGAAGAAGAAGAAGACGAAGATGAAGAAGAAGACGAAAAAGAAGAAGAATAAGAAGAAGACGAATAAGAAGAAGAAGACGAAGGAGAAGAATAATAATATGAAGAAGAAGAAGACGAATAAGAATAAGAAGAATAAGAAGAATAAGAATAAGAATAATAAGACGACGAATAAGAAGACTAAGAAGAAGAAGAATAATACGACGAAGGAGAAGAAGACGAAGAAGAATAATGATAATAAGAATAAGAAGAATAAGAAGAAGAAGAAGAAGAATAATAAGAAGAAGAAGAATACTACGAATAATAATAAGAAGAAGAATAATAATAAGAAGAAGAAGAATAAGAAGAATACTAATAATAAGAAGAAGAAGAAGAAGAAGAGGAGGAGGAGGAGGAGGAGAGGGGGAGGGGAGGGGGAGGGGGAGGGGAGAGGGGGAGGAGGGAGGGGGAGTGGAGGAGGAGGAGGAGGAGGAGGAGGAGGAGGAGGAGGAGGAGGAGGAGGAGGAGGAGGAGGAGGAGGAGGAGGAGGAGGAGCCCCCCCCCTTTGTGCAGCGGGCGGGGGCGCAGGCCGCGGACGACGTGACGGCGCTGCTGCAGAGCGAGGTGGTGGTGCGCCAGGCGGTGGCCGCCGAGGAGGGGCTCGCGGCCAAGGCGGTGCCCTCCCCCTGCAGGGGGGATCTCCCTCCTGCTCCTGCTCCTGCTCCTGCTCCTCCTCCTCCTCCTCCTCCTCGTCCTCCTCCATTTGTTCCTCTTCCTCCTCCTCCCTCTTCTTCCTCCTCCTCCAGTTTTCCCTCCTCCTCCTCCTCCTCCTCCTCCTCCTCATCCTCCTCCCTGCGCCCCCTTGGGTCAAGTCGGGCCCGCCCCTCTGCAGGGGGGATCTCCCAGAGCAGTTAAAACATACCCTGGGGACTACGTTTCTGAAGCGAGAGCCGACAAAAACTCGAAAAAATCACGTTTTTGGGGTTTTCATCGAGAGTTGGTTTCGCCGAGTGTTTTGATAGTAATACTGCACCTGCGGGCCTGAGAATTTCACAGGCACGCGCGTCATAACCCATTACAGGTGCGAAAAACCTGGTTTCTCAAAATGAATTGTCAAACTGGCTCCGGCGGTGAACCCCCCCGCCACCCCCCTTGGGTCAAGTCGGGCCCGTCCCTCTGCAGGGGGAATCTCCCAAAGCAGTCAACACATACCCTGGGGACTACTTTTCGTACATGCTTTGACTATTTTTGGAGCATTTGGGGGGTATTTTTTTTGGTTCGTCCCAAAACCGTCTGTAGGGGGACACGCCCGACCTAACCCTTGGGCCCTTCCTCCGCCGTCGACCTGTGTGCACCTTGCTCGGAAGCTGGAACATATACATGACCAGTGGCGGGCCGTTTGTGTCAATCCCACGACTTTTTGAGGGTCGGGGACGACGTCGGGGTGGTGTGGCGTATACTGTATACTTTTCCCCCGTTCTCCAAGGGGAAACAACGAAAAGTGCATACACCAGGATCCCGTATACACCAGGATCCGCGTTCCTGTGCGAATTTCAGCGCAGGGTCGGAAAACGCTCAGAGCGTGAATTACCTACCCCGCTTTCGCTTCCAGGCGAAACCAAGCCATACCACGCGCCTCCTCGTCTAGTGGCCTGACCAGTACAGGCTGCAATTTGGCATCGTTTGGTATCTCTTGGAAGCGAGGGTGGTCAAACGCGAGGGAGGTTTGTTTTCCCCCTAAACGCGTCGGTGTATAGAGGTAGTTTCCCCAGTCACCGCGTGGGCCTCTGCCGAGGCGCCGTCGATTCTCGACCCGGGGGCCTGACACGGTGCTTGGTCGTTCGGCCCCCCGAGCCGAGCAACAGCCACCAATACACCGCACCGCGTTGCAGCGGAGCCCAAAAATCCTCCTCGTCCTCTTCCTCCTCCCTGCTTCCTCCTCCTCCTCATCCTCATCCTCCTCCTCCTCATCCTCCTTTTCTCCATCCTCATCCCCGTCCAATTACCCTCTTCCTCGTCCTCATCCTCCTGCTGACACTAGAAGCACGGGGCTCCCAAGGCATGGTGGCGGCCCAGACCAGAGGATAGCAAATATTTGCACGCGCGGGCTACGGTCTTCCTGCGGCAGAGCCTCGTTCCTTCAGACCCGGTTCCATCTCGGAATCCAAACGCGGTACGGTGCAGAGACGCCGTTCGCGCATTTCCGCCGCCAACCTCTCGCCCCCGCAGTTGCGGACAAGAGTGCGGGGGCGGCGGGGTCGTCGGCAGTCTGCGAGGCTCCGAGGGAGCCCGCCGCAGGCGCCGCCACAACGAGCCCGCCGCACGCGCGGAACATTTGTTCAAGCAATCGGGGTGGGCCGCGGGGTGGGTCGCGGGGTGGGCCGCGGGGTGGGTCGCGAGGTGGGTCGCGAGGTGGGTCGCGAGGTGGATCGCGGGTGGGGACGACCGCGCCGACGACAAATCAAGCAGAAGCCGCGCCGCGAGATCCCACTTCAGCTACACCCAGGGACGGTATCGGGCCGACGCTGGACCCTAAAGCCCCTGGCGCGGACCTCGCGCCAGGGGCGGCGCCAGAGGCACCGCTAAGGGGGGGGGCGGAGCGCCGTACCAAGAATCCGCGCGGTCGACGTTTTTCTGGTTCGAGAACTAGAAACTAGGTCGAGAACCAGATGATGAAAGTTGTTGTTGTTGTTGTTGTTGTTGTTGTTGTTGTTGGTGTTGGTGTTGGTGTTGGTGTTGGTGTTGTTGTTGTTGTTGTTGCTGTTGTTGCTGTTGTTGCTGTTGTTGCTGTTGTTGTTGTTGCTGTTGTTGTTGTTGTGAAGTTTTCTGGTTAAGACCGTTCGTCCTCCTCTCTGGCAGCAGGCGCAGGACATGAGAAGCCGGCCTGCCAGCAGGTGCCCTGTCGGAAGGCTCCTTACCCCCCCCCCCGATGGCCCCAGGGACCCACAAGGAGCTCTGGGTTGCCCTATACAGTGGTGGCGCGCATCAAGAAACCATCTGCTTTTCGTGAGGGTATCCTGGGTTTCTTCGCTCCTCGCGCTGCGCGGTGACTTCCCGCAGCCGTTGAAGGAGCTGCTGCGTTCAGGGTGCTCCGGGTTTCCCCTCTGGTGTGCACCTCGCGCGTAGTGGACTCAAAGATCGTCGAACAAGTGGCCCATGATTTCTCGTGGCGAACATTCTTATCGTATGTGTCCACTATATCACGACGGAAGACGGACGGGTTTTGGGTAGTTATAAGTTTTCTGGTGGCCTCTACCTGGCGCGGGGGTCCTCGGGGATCCATGGCCGGAAAACACCACGACGTCGGAGGTATGGGGAGGAGGTTGGTCGCAGATGACAGATGGCCCGATGGTCCGCGTGAGCGGCAGGGTGCCCTGGAGGAAGTCTGCCCTATAGAGTTTCTGTCGCCGCTCGTGGACCCCAGGAGCCAGCTTGCGGAGCGCGCGTGCGGACCGCCTCTGCCGCGCGGCGGCGAGAAAAGCGGACCCCAGCAGCGCTGCAACACGATTCGGGAGGAGCAGCTGGCCCCGGGGCCCTTCCAGGAGGCAGGCCACCGAGCCCGCTGGCGGCGGACCAGGGCGCTCCGGAAGGGCCCCGCCTTCGACGGGTCGAGGAGGATGGCCTCTCTCCTCTTCGGCGTGAGGCGGCGGAAAAGGCGGGCAGCAGGAGCCAGCGGAAGCGGAAGTCCCACCCAAGACAGCCAGACTGTCTCCAAGAAAGGGCCCCATCCCTCGATCGGGAGCGACGTCGGACGGGGCCGAGACGAGGATGAATCCATTCCAGAGCGTCCCGGAACGCTCTCAGAGCGTTCGGGGACGCTCTGAGAAGGCCGCGGCGCCCGAGACATCCTCCAGAGCCGCGGGATCTCAGAGATTCTCGCCTTGTCCTCACCCGAAGTTCTCCTCGGCCTGGCTTCGTCCAACAGCGACTGGGAGGGGTTGGCTCGGGGGGGGACGCATGGACGAAGGATTGCAAAAAAACCCAAGGATTGCAAAAAAAAACCGGATTGCAAAAAAACCCAAGGATTGCAAAAAAACCCACGCCTCGGGTTTTTTTTTGCAATCCTTTGCAAAGGATTGCAAAAAAACCTTGGGGGAAGGATTGCAAAAAAACCTTGGGTTTTTTTTGCAATCCTTGCAATCCTTGGGTTTTTTTTGCAATCCTTTGCAATCCATCGCCCATTCCCCGCCGATAGGGGCCCGACAGCTCCACCCCTGCCCAGGAGCGTGCGAGTCCACTGTCGGGGACCCACCGTCGATCCATCGGCGATGTATCGCCGACTCCTGCTCGATATTCCACCCTTATGCAAGGGCTCCCCCAAGGCCCGAAGTTATTCGCGCTTCGCGCTTCGCGGTCCTCGTTTCTCCTCCCCCTCCTCCTCGTCCTCCTTTTCTCCCTTTGGGGGGGCGGCGCGAGAGCGCGAAGTTATTCGCGCTTCGCGGAGCGCGAAGCGCGAAGTTGGGAGCCCTAGCTTATGCCAGTTTCCCCCCCTCCCCCCCCCGATCGTTGCCCCTCGCTTTCGGCCTCACTACCCAGCTGCGCAATCTTTGAGAAGAGATGGAGAAGCGGGGCAAGCTGGAAACCACAGCGTTCTCAATGGTGCAGTCGTTGGGAAAAGGTGGAAAAGTTGGACAAGCTGAAAGCATCCTTTTTCAGTGGGGAGCTGTCAAAAGCTGGAAAGTTGGAAAACACAGTTTTTCAACGAAGTAGTTTCTAGGAAAAGCGGGAGAAGCCGGAACAGCTGGAAAACATACCGTTTATCAATGGGGTAGCGTTTGGGAAACATGGATAATCCCGGCAAAGCAACCTAACAGCGATGTGTAGAAGCATATCTGAAAGCATTCCCCTTAAGATTCAGATGAAAATCCAGTTGTAGAATTCTGCTGTTCTCGCAGTCGTAGTCGCATTCGCGATGACAGTCGCAGCGGCAACGGCAGTCGCAGTCACAGCCTCAGCCTCAGCCTGCCTCAGCCTCAGCCTCAGCCTGCCTCAGCCTCAGCCTGCCTCAGCCTCAGCCTCAGCCTGCTTCAGCCTCAGCCTCAGTCTGCCTTCAGCCTCGGCCTCAGCCTCAGCCTGCCTCAGCCTCAGCCTGCATCAGCCTCAGCCTCAGCCTCAGCCTGCCTCAGCATCAGCCTGCTTCAGCCTCAGCCTCAGCCTGCCTCAGCCTCAGCCTCAGTCTGCTTCAGCCTCAGCCTCAGTCTGCCTTCAGCCTCGGCCTCAGCCTCAGCCTGCCTCAGCCTCAGCCTGCCTCGGCCGCAGCATCAGCCTGCCTCAGCATTCAAAATGTGGCCCAGGAATAAAGTTCTGGGAACTAGAAGAACACGAAGTGGCCTACAGTTGGCTCCGGGCATTCAAAATCATGCCCAGGAATGGAGTTCTGGGAACTTGAAGAGCACGAAGTGGCCTACAGTTGGCTCCGGGCATCCAAAATGTGGCCCGGGAATGGAGTTCTGGGAAGTCGAAGAGCACGAAGTGGCCTACAGTTGGCTCCGGGCATCCAAAATGTGGCCCGGGAATGGAGTTCTGGGAAGTCGAAGAGCACGAAGTGGCCTACAGTTGGCTCCGGGCATCCAAAATGTGGCCCGGGAGTGGAGTTCTGGGAGCACCAAGAGCGATTTTGCGAGGATGTCCGAAGCGATTTCGGCTTCGGCGGCAGCCCCCGGGGTCCCGCC